AGGCATATGTATATATAGCATATGTATATATATGAATATGTATATATATGCATTATGTATATATATGCAATGTATATATATGCATAGTATAATATGCATATGTATATATAGGCATATGTATATATATGTAATATATGTATATGTATTATATGTATATGTATATATATGCATCTGTATATATATGCATTGTATATATATGCATATGTTATATATGCATATGTATTATATGCATATGTATAATATGCATATGTATTATATGTATATGTATTATATGTATATGTATATATATGCCATATGTATATATATGAATATGTATATATATGCTATGTATATATATGTCTATGTATATATATGCTATGTATATATATGCCTATGTATATATATGCCATATGTATATATATGGCATATGTATATATATGCCATATGTATATATATGCCATATGTATATATATGGCATATGTATATATATGAATATGTATATATATGAATATGTATATATATGGATATGTATATATATGGCATATGTATATATATGCCATATGTATATATATGCCTATGTATATATATGCATTGTATATATATGCATATTTATATATATGTATATGTATTATATGTATATGTATTATATGTATATGTATTATATGTATATGTATATATATGAATATGTATATATATGCATAGTATAATATGCATATGTATATATATGCCTATGTATATATATGCTTATGTATATATATGAATATGTATATATATGCTTATGTATATATATGTATATATATGCATTATGTATATATATGCATATGTATTATATATGCATATGTAATATATGCATATGTATTATATATGCATATGTATATATATGCATCTGTATATATATGCATATGTCTATATATGCATATGTATCTATATGCATATGTATATAATGCATATGTATATATATGCCATATGTATATATATGGCATATGTATATATATGCATATGTATCTATATGCATATGTATATATAGGCATATGTATATATATGTATATATATGCCTATGTATATATATGCATAGTATAATATGCATATGTATATTATGCATATGTATATTATGCATATGTATATATATGTATATATATGGCATATGTATATATATGCATATGTATATATATGCCTATGTATATATATGCTTATGTATATATATGCCTATGTATATATATGCAATGTATATATATGCATATGTCTATATATGCATATGTATCTATATGCATATGTATCTATATGCATATGTATCTATATGCATATGTATCTATATGCATATGTATTATATGCATATGTATATATATGCCATATGTATATATATTGCATATGTATATATATGTATATATATGCATATGTCTATATATGCATATGTTATATATGCATATGTTATATATGCATATGTCTATATATGCATATGTATATATATGTCTATGTATATATATGTATATGTATAATATGTATATATATGTATATATATTGCATATGTATATATAGGCATATGTATATATATGTAATATATGTATATGTATTATATGTATATGTATATGATATGTATATATATGATATGTATATATATGAATATGTATATATATGCATATGTATATATATGCCATATGTATATATATGTATATATATGGCATATGTATATATATGCAATGTATATATATGCATTATGTATATATATGCATATGATATATATGCATATGTAATATATGCATATGTATCTATATGCATATGTATTATATGCATATGTATCTATATGCATATGTATATATATTGCATATGTATATATATGCAATGTATATATATGCATCTGTATATATATGCATCTGTATATATATGCATCTGTATATATATGCATCTGTATATATATGCATATGATATATATGCATATGTAATATATGCATATGTATATAATGTATATGTATATATAGGCATATGTATATATATGCCATATGTATATATATGCATAGGTATATATATGCATAGTATAATATGCATATGTATATATAGCATATGTATATATATGAATATGTATATATATGCCATATGTATATATAGGCATATGTATATATATGCATTGTATATATATGCATATGTATCTATATGCATATGTATATAATGCATATGTATATATATGCATAGTATATATATGCATATTGTATATATATGTATATGTATATATATGCAATGTATATATATGCAATGTATATATATGCATAGTATAATATGCATATGTATATATATGCTTATGTATATATATGAATATGTATATATATGCAATGTATATATATGCAATGTATATATATGCATAGTATAATATGCATATGTATATAATGCATATGTATATATATGCTTATGTATATATATGCTTATGTATATATATGCCATATGTATATATATGCCATATGTATATCATATGCTTAGAATCTAACTAACTGTCATTGGGAAAATAGTATATGAATGCTTAGTATATTTTTCAACCACTGTCACACTGAATCCCACCCATACATACCTGGGAAAAAGCATGAACGGAAAGGGGTGGTTCCTCTGGATAAAATCGGCTGAACATGGTCTCCAGCTGATATGGTGTGCAGTAGCCAATGTATTCTTTCATATCAACACGGCCAGGTCTGATTAAAGCTGGATCCAATCTTGAATAAAATAAATACAAAATTATGTTGTAGTAATGTACAATTAGTATTCTATTATACAATTTTTTTTTTTTTTTTAATTTATTACTGATGTAAAATGACAGGTATGAAATAACTGATCCTACCACTTAATATCACTTGTAAAGTAAAGATGTATGAGGAAGTACACAGATGTACTATAAATAAAAAGATTATATTACTAATGTTCACTGATGAACATGTTAAAGGTATCATTATTATTGTCTTAACTAAAATTACTTCTTACCTCTCAGGATAGTTTGTAGTCATAAATACAATTCTGGCTTCCGTTGAGGCAACCCCATCAAGGCAGTTCAAAAGCCCACTAAAAGTTAACCTATTGAGGCCTGCATATGCAGCTTTCACTGTTAAAAGAAAGTTTAAATTACTAATAAGAAAATGATGTACCACCAGTAAGACTTGTTCTAAGCACATATACTTTACAATTTACAAGAATCAATTTTACATCTGTTTTAAAGTGATGTTTTCCAATGTGGTTCACAGAAGATAAATTCTACAATATATACATTCTTAGTATGAACTGAAATAATAAATTTATAACACAAAACCCATAAATGTCAATTTCTTGTAGAAAAACTATACAGCTTTAACTTTTGCAGGATATATTTTAAAATCTCTGTTTCACATTAACCTAGAAACTACTGAAACATTGATTAACTCAAAGATTTAAATGTGTTTTTTTCTAAATCTAATATGAACTCACTCTCTGCTGTGTCTTCCCTGCTGACAAAAGCTGAATCAACATCTTCCAACAAAATTATGGTATTCTGGAAATAAAAATTTGCTTCTGTCAAAAAGTAATACAACTATTTATGAATAAAGCAAACACAAGTTACCCCATTTCTTACATCTGCTGTACATAATTTGGCTGAAATAAGAAAACTTGTATGCAAACCCAACATTAGTGACGACTGGAAAGGACTTTTCTATAGTTTGCATGTATCTTGAAACACACATGCAGACAGACGGTACTCTCACACATTCACATTTACATTCACTCTCTCTGACACACATGTACACAAATATGAAGCCTTGAGAATGGGAGATGCAAACTTGCAAAGTTAACAAAAGTATGAATCTTCCACTCTCATTTTCTATGAAATCTGCTCTATCTTATGGCAAGAAATGGTATGGTTAGTTCATCTGACAATGGCTGATAATAAAGGTTATAAATATAGTGTAAATCTTGTGATCAGGGCAGAACAGAAATGTTCAACTCATTCATCTCAAAGCTTGATTTGGGCGAGTTTGCCTCTCCAATTCTCAATATTTCACGTGCAAATATCTATCTTGTAATTCTTGATCTGTTTCTCCAAACCCAGTGTCCCTTGGTCAACCTACCTCAGGAGCAAGAGCCAGCAGGTGGTTCAGGCGGTCGTCTGTGAGACCTCTTTCACTCAGGTTAAGGACACAAATGCCAAGCTGCAGTTCCCCTGCTAATGCCGTAATGAATGAGCTTTTGCCGCAGCCTGGAGGCCCATGTAGGAGATAGCCACGACGGTATGGAATTCCTGTGACAAGACAATAATTCTGAATTTTACTAGAAAAGTTGCAGTTTCAGTGTTGAGACTCTGCTGGGAAGTGGCCGAGTGTAACTGTTAAGAAAAACAAAATCCCTTACACCCCTACACAACATATATAACCTGTATTTAGCAACATGTGATACCATCCTTTGTCCCCATTTAAGATTAAATCATACCATCAATTTCTGGTCCAAGGAAATGCTAAAGAATACACTTCCTAAATATATAATATATACTGACCAATGTTAATTCAACTAACCTCTACTGGAATACCACTCAGGGTTTTCCATGAAGTCTTTTACATCTTTGACGATCTTGTCAGATAATCCACGATCGAGGACAACTGAGCTGATTGGTCGTGGTTTTCTTGGGTTGCCAAACTGTCGCCATTCTGCACCATAGGCTGTGTACATGATAGTCTTCCCCTCATTCTGCTTTATTGCCATATCACGTGCTATAGGATCATAAGAAAAACTGGGGTCACATTTAAAAAAATAGCAAATGAAAAGAGCAGATCTGGCAGTATAACAGTGCCATTCCTTTACATATATTTGGCAATTTGCTTAAATTTCTATCAAAATCAAAGCCAAGAAATTCCCATAAAAAATTCACAACACGATAAAAAGACCAAAATCAGTTATCATTCATCTAACTAACCCTCTTCTAAAATATCAACAAACAGAGATCTGTTTTTGCCAAAGGCTGTAAGCTTAACGGATTCGAAAGGGACACCCATGTGAAGATCTATGGTTTGGTCGGACCTTATCCTCTCAACACGTATCCAAGTCCTTCTGTACCTGGAACAAGGCAGCACCAAAATTACTCAAGCCTGGACTCTAAAAAATATATACATTGTTGTTAAGCAAAATCCTTTGGAAATCAATTTAACCCAGAAACTTTTACGGTTTCCTTCATACTCCTGCAAAATGCATTATTTGGATTTTATAAGATGGAGGATCTCTTTCAGCATCTGACAACATCAGGGACAGGGGTACATGACTTAAAGAAAATATTTAGAACCAGGCTCCTATTCCATGGACTAAGTTTAGCTAACAACTTTAATTTTGTGCCAAACCATTAAACTAAATAAATATCATCTTCGCATTCTTGTACCAGAGTACAAAAGAGAAGGACTTACAGAGTGAAAGATTAAGGACAGTAAGTGCAGTACCAAGTTCATGTCTCCACTAGGTGATCCATCAGAAGGGCCATCATGAGTACAAATCCTGAGGCACTTTACCTATACATTCTTCACGAAGTGATATCATGATACCATAATATGAAGTATTTCTTATTCAGGTCATCATCATCCTACTTTGCTGACTGATAATACTGGGCATTACTATATAAAAAGCATACAGCCTTGGCATTGAAACTCTCCAGGTAAGTCCTCAAAAAACATACTTCCTTTACAAATAACACAAGTTACTTTGAAAAACTAAAAAGTGCTCTCTTTTCTTGGGAATGAATTCCCACAAAAATAACAACACTTGCACACACCTTCCTTAATGATATCAGAAAACAGCTTTTTTTGTTTTCCAAAAGCTGTAATTGTAACATTTTCCCAAGGGGTGCCATGCTGTAAGTCTAGCGTGCGTTGTTCACGAGCGCGTTCCACCTTAAGCCATGTACCACCATACCTAGTAAATTAGCAGTTCAAGAATTCCAAATCACAATGGAGAAAAAACATGAAGTAAAAGAGGTCACTAAGATAAAGGAAACAGTAAAGTTTCAACCATATAGTATTTGTCATTTTTATCACTGAAATCCATAAGCCTATAGAATCATATGCCATGTTACTCTTCTATGTACAATGCTGAGCAAAAGCAACAACCTTTATCCTGATGCTGCCAGACACTTCAGAAGGACAAACACATATGAGTTGCCAAATGTTGTAATAACCCATCTTTCTCAATACCTTAAAAATACCTTCTCATGTTTTCCCTGGTACTGATACAAATCTAATAACAAAAAAATGAAAACAAAAAGTTGGAAGTTGTTGCTGTTGGTTTTGCAGCATCGGGGGTGAAGGTTGTTTTTTTTATCTCCATCATTATGTATATAAGATGATGTGACTATATGTTTAAGATAATATGAAGAAGTGAAACCTAAAGGAAATGATAATCATCTAAAGAATATAGCACATGAAATGTCAAAAAATACACTTTAAGGCCATGGAGAGAGAGAATGTGGAGAAACACACAACTCTTTTATTTCCTTGTGAATCAAATAGAGAATGGTCTACCGATGCCCTTTATATATCCAATAAATTCACATACCAGAAGAAATGTTCCCCAACACTAGGAATAAAGTCATGACGAGTCGTTATTTTCCCAGTTTCTATTTGCTGGAACTTCGTCTCTACACTGAGGTGCTGAGTATTGCGAGCTCCCTTGTGCGTAATCCACTGGAGCAACCAACTGTAGGACTTGTCTCGGCAAGGAACTTCCAGTGTTGTCATGTAGTGGCGGCGAAACAGTATCAGGCCAACCTTGGAATTGATTCATTTCAATGGTTATTTCCTGTGCTTATAGATCTCATATTATGTAATACTTGTTTTGTGAAAATAATTATTCAAATTAATAACAACAGATAATATATAATATTAATATAGACATCACATTCACTATACAGTTTCCCCATTAGTAGCCTAGCCTTAATAAATATACATGAAACAAAATCTAAACCTTCGTATAGAGCCAAATTTAAAACCCTCATGATGCATTTGCCTTACCATGTATCCCTTCCTCAACACTGCCGCTCCTGCCCCCACGCCAAAGAGACCAAAGCCGGCACTGAAGTAGGGGTTCTCCCCTAGTGAGGCCATCAATTCCTGGATCCCCATTCTGGTGGACGTGATCTGAATTCATTCAACACCTGAGAGGATAAATGAATCTTTTTTAACCTTGTTGCTAGTAACACTACCTCAGGTCTTTTTATTTCAAAATTCTGTAACTAAAAAAACATATATATCTGTCACAAGGCAACAGTTCCATAATGTGACTTTGTAGACCTCCCAATTAAGAAAGTAAGAAATAAGTCAGTCTCTATATTATCTGAATATCTATATTGGGAAGCTCTGTTACCTCTTGCAACATAGGTAATTACTAGTGATGGTGACACTCTCACTCTCACAAAGAGCTGGTGATAAGAGATGTGAAGGAACAAAGCCAATAAATAAGCGGCTGAATTGTTTTAACAAGTAGAAAAACTCGTTACTTCACAATCAAGCATTCATGCAAAAACCAAACCAGACAGATCCTTTGCCCCTTTTCTTCATTTTTCTTCATGTTTTCTTCATTTCTTACGTTATTTTTTGTCTGAGCAGATTATTTCTTACGCCTGTGAGTGTAGTTTTCCTTTCTCTTTATGACAGTGTCCTTAGAGTTTCGGCCTCTTCAGCGGCCCTTATGTAAGTATTCACCTAAAAATAACTTGTTTTGAACGTCACTACAGCCTTCTAAGCGCACAGCACAGTAAAAGAACAATAAAATAGAATCAGTTTACATATTTTCTTGCACCAAATTCTCCACTTAATAAAACAAGGTCGAAACCCAAAGAAAACATCCTAATTTGACTTAGACAACAGACACATTCACTCAACTGTTTATATTCAACTTACATATCTATAATTATGTCGGTATGATTGAAACTGCGGATAAAATCGAGATATAATGCAACTTCATCTGCTGCAAAACTCGGCAAACATGACCCTTCTGCTGCTGGGCCTCCACTGGATGTGAACGAAGGACGGGTTGGTATAAATATGTAAACATTATCGATACTGATCTTTTTTGCTTTGTTATTATGAGAAATGCCCATGATACTATTAGTCATCATCCTAAGCTGTGTTATTTCTAATGGATTCTCATGTTTTCAGCCTATTAACAAAGTCTACGAATCTGGACCAAAAGTCACTCAAATGTTCCCCATCCATCAGCTGGTTTCGCATTCGCAATGAAAGAAAAAAAGAAAATAATAAAAACCCTCATGAGCGCTCAAATTATTTAACTACAAATTAACGAAGAGAAAAATTATTCAAAATACACGAAAGGGCTTAAAAGACCCAGAAACAGCAATTACTTAGAAAATGGCCGTGACGTCACAAACCAAAACAGAGTGACAAGAGATCATGGATGACATCATTGCAGGTTGGTCTTATGTCTGTTATTTGGCGCCTTTGCGGCCTTTTCTCCGCAGTTAGACAGGGAATTTAACTTTTTGACCGATATTTTAATTGTATAGCTTAATTCCCCGCGAAGAATCATGCCTTTGTGAGTCAAAATAAGGTGAGTCATGGTATAGAAGGCGGGGTCAACATTTCTTTCGTGCACTAATTAGGGAAATTATGTTCCTTCCGACTGAATGATTGGCCTTAACGGGAATATGGATTCTAATCAACGTTGCAATTGCATTATTTTGATGTCTTTTCTTTGTTATTTAATTCGATTCCCAGGGGCAGGGGACGAGGCCAAGTGTTGCCAGCTGAACTTTTCTTTGTTTATGATTTTTTTTTTTTTTTTTTTAAGGAGAATGTAATATAACTTTCTGTTAAGCTCTTCTGTTCTTTGTCAAAACTTATGCCAGGTTATGTCATTGCTTTACAGTGAGGAAATCTCCCTATATTATTTGAATAAATGACATATATGTGGTTCAGAGATATTTATAAGCTGTCTGTATATTTATTTACCTTTTTGCCTATTTCCTTTTGCCGTGATTTACTGCTAGAAAGCAAGTGCACTTCTCGTACTGCGCAATGAAGCAGTAAAGAGGTGTAAACATGAATTTGTAATTGGTGTCATTGACTTACTATGTTGATATTTTTATTTTGCAAATCAGGTTTAAGAAAGTACATTTCAGTCTAAGATCAGGGTGCCAGGGAATTCAGTGACCTGGCTATTCAGCAACCTTGGTGAACCTTACAATGTGCCTTTTCACACTACCAAGGAATTGCAATGCGCCACTCTGTACATGCTAGGCATCTCCTGTGACATGTTACACAGACCATTTTGATATGACGGCTGAGTCTGCTGTTCTGACTGAATTGTAGAGAATCTGTCACGTTTCCAGCTTCTGGCACCCTAGGCATTTGGTGCTAAACAATTGCCTTGTTTGCCTAATGGTGCTTGTCATTAGGCAGCGGTCATGAATTCAGAATCAGAAGGCCCACCCTTGCATATCGTATCTTAAAGGGAAGAAGAAAGTGTCATTCTTTGTCCACCACAGGGATGAAAAGATTTGAATTTCACCATTCTTGGGGTAACACAATTAGGTATGCGAGTTGATAAATACATTATCTACTTTAAATCCCATTATTTTTCTTAAGTTTAAATGAATTGAATGGAATGGAATAGGACTAGGACTTACCGGTATTACATATTACATATGAAAGCCTATGTAAAAATCCATGGCTACAAGAAGTATATTTCACATAAGCTTTATTTCAGTTTTTATCTAATTCACTTATCATTACAGTAGAAGTAAGATTTCAGTGGACCTCAGTCACATAATGCAGAACAGAATCCATTTTTGAAGTGGAATTTCTGTTATAGTATTCTGACATCCTGATTATGTTTCATTAGAAACAAAAAGCAGATAAAGAATTAAAAAAAAAGGAAAAAAGGTAAAAGGAAAGGAAAGGAAAAAGAAAAAAGAAAAGAAAAAGAAAGAAAGAAAGAAAGAAAAGATATAATGATATATACCTCCTGAGAGAGCAAAGTTCCTGATTAGGTACTAAGTTGAAATTTGAGGCAGAAAGTCAAAGAAGGATCAAAGTGTGAACTTATTACAAGTGAAATAAGTAAAACTGTTTAATAAGATAGCACTTTTCAGTAATTCAGTAGGAGATGGACAGAAGGGAAGTTACTTCACTGCCATTTATCAGGAATTTGAAGGAAAACTTCAGGGAAATTTGAACAAAAAATAGTTTAGGAGTATTAAGTATTAGTATATAGAGCTAAGAATGCAGGAAGAACAACGAAGGGAAGATCAGGAAAACACACGAATATGCCGAAGGCCTTTTCGCAATTTATTGCTTCATCATGCCCTGATGAAGCAATAAATTGCGAAAAGGCCTTCGGCATATTCGTGTGTTTTCCTGATCTTCCCTTCGTTGTTCTTCCTGCAATTTGTTTGACATGAATTCCACAAGAGCTAAGAATGTACTTCATGAAAGGTTAAAGAATGAAATATTCCTTCAAAACCAGAAAGAAATGAATTATATGTTGTGTCTGATGTGGGTATGCAGAGGGAAGTATTGTTCAGATTGAGATGTATTTATTTAACCCGTCAAGATTATACAAGACATTACTGAATCTTTCTCCTATTATAGAACTCCATGATGAGATCAGGTATGTTCTAACTGCAGATGTTATTGTTTACTGTGTATTGCTTTGACAAATAGAAGAGCTGAGTATGCAATTGTGAAATTAAGTTGTTATTTTTCAGGAAATATGTAAAAGGTCAGGGGGAAATAGAATAATAGGAGTTACATGCATTAGATTTTTTTCTTTATTATTCTCACCTTTTGAAAGAATCCCTATGTTTTGAATAGAATAACATTTCATAGGTAACAAGGAAGGCACTTGATTACAAAGCTGGAAGTGCTAACTCTGTTTCCAGACCTCTGTCTGTTAAGTTACCACAGATGGAAAAGATAAATGAATGTCTATCTATCTGCCTTATCTTTTTATCTATCTCTGTAAGTAGATACTTACACACTTAAAGCATTCAGCAGCAAGGGCTCTTAGGTGAGCAGAGTTAGAATGACGTTCCCTATATCTCTTTTTTTGTAGATGATGATTGGCAGATGGCCCCTTAAACTTCCCTATCGCTGGCGCAGATACCTGCTCTGGGTGTTACACATCTTCGATCCTTACCTTTGTATTGTGTCCTTTGACAAATAAAGAGCTAAAACTGTATTTTCTTCAAGATGCAGTACCTTGGTTGGAAATAAGCTTTTTCAAGCAGTATGCAATTGTGAAATTAAGTTGTTATTTTTCAGGAAATATGTAAAAGGTCAGGGGGAAATAGAATAATAGGAGTTACATGCATTAGATTTTTTTCTTTATTATTCTCACCTTTTGAAAGAATCCCTATGTTTTGAATAGAATAACATTTCATAGGTAACAAGGAAGGCACTTGATTACAAAGCTGGAAGTGCTAACTCTGTTTCCAGACCTCTGTCTGTTAAGTTACCACAGATGGAAAAGATAAATGAATGTCTATCTATCTGCCTTATCTTTTTATCTATCTCTGTAAGTAGATACTTACACACTTAAAGCATTCAGCAGCAAGGGCTCTTAGGTGAGCAGAGTTAGAATGACGTTCCCTATATCTCTTTTTTTGTAGATGATGATTGGCAGATGGCCCCTTAAACTTCCCTATCGCTGGCGCAGATACCTGCTCTGGGTGTTACACATCTTCGATCCTTACCTTTGTATTGTTTTTGGGTGGCTTCATAATCTTTCTAAGATGATAGGTATGTCAAAAGAAAAAAAGGAAAGAGAAATAAACGTTACTACTGTCCTATTTAAGTGTACTGTAAAGATGTTGTGCACAGAATCCCTTGCTTTGTAAAGTGTCCAAACATGTAGGTTGTTGAACTTTGATGGGCATGTTTGTACTGTATATATCTTGGATCAGGTTTCTGTAAGAAGTTTATCCCTCAAATGGTTTCATTTATTTATGACATATTTATGTATTTATTTATTTATTGTTTATTATTTTTATGACTTTTGACATTTGTTATTGCAGTGTTTTTATACTTAGTAATGTGTATTTTTTATAATCTGTGAAGACATAGGTTTTCAAGATGTTTTCCTTTTTTACTAGACTAAAGCTTGGAAGCTTCCGTTTTTGATAGACGTTAATTGTTTATCATTGTTTGATGTTCTTACCTTGACAGATGCTGTATTGCTTTTGAAATACTTTATTCAACAAAGATATGTTCATTACCTGTGCTTAATGGTTATTGACTTTCATTTCTTAAGTTGGTTATTTACAGAACTCTTGCTTGATTTCAGCTTGTATGACATATGAAGGGGCTCTTAGCGAGCCGGAGGATTTCCCAAAGACCGAGGAGCCAGTCTGGTTGCTGGGCAAGGAGTACTCCACTCAGACAAGTTTGTATTACATTGTCAGAGTTTAGCTGCTGCTCTAAGGTTTTTGCAATTTTATTACTTGGAGCTTTTAGTATGAAGGAATGTAGGTATGAAGGATGATATGACAGTGGCAGGTGCACGCTCTTATGTCATTCTAAGTATCTGGAAAATTGCTTTACAACAGGATAGCATTTCAGTTGCTTTACTTTACCTTTTTCAGTCAGGAGAAATCAGTGCTACTAATGATATATTGAAAGAAAATATATTGAAAGGGGAAAGTGAATGTATAAAGTCTTTACATCATATTTTTAGTCTTACCTTTTTTGTTTTAAATGTTATTTTTCTGTAATATATTTATTTATCTGCAGTGGTACCTTCATTTCATTCCACTTCAGATCTGGCAGCCTTACGGAGTGATGTGCAGTCTCGGCTATGGATGACTTATCGACGGAACTTTGCTCAAATTGGAGATTCGAACTTTACATCTGACAAGGGCTGGGGCTGCATGCTGCGCTGCGGACAGATGGTGCTGGCGGAGGCCTTGCTCCGGAGGCATTTAGGTATCTTCTTTGTCTCTTGAGCTCTGGCTGTCTCTCTCCCTCTTCTCATATTCTTCCTTTCTGCTTGTGTCT